AAAAAAGTCTTTATCCATTTTCCTCTTTCCTTAGGAAAACAAAAGGCAAAAGAAGTCAAAGCTTGCAAAGCTCTTAGCCTACGTACTGTGAGAGATGTAGAAAGTAGGTCCCAGGGAGGTTAGTAATCTGCACACACTCATACAATTACTTTTGTGCAGTTGGAAAATAGCATATAAACCAAAGCTCTCCAACTATGACCATGTGTCAGAAATACACAGCACCTTTCACTGGTCTAAAGTATATCTTTCCTCATCTTTTAACACTTCGATTCTTAGTATGCATCTTAAAATTAACTGATGAAATAAGTCAATTATTTAGATGAAGTAAGATGCAGAAAATCAACACAACAAATGATGGCTAAAGCCAGAAGTGGACTGTTAGAATGAACATAGACCACACCTCAAAAATCCACGTGCACTAGATTACAGAAAGTGTCCTCTCTAGCTAGTTGAAGTATTTTATCTATTTAAGGGAAAGAGGTTAAAGTATCCTTTTTGGAAGTTTCCTGAGTTCTATAAAAGGATTTAAAACTTCTGGGTTGCATGTATATTAAAAGCCCTGAATCTTTGCAAATATAAATTAGCAAAAATTAAGAAATAAGTTAGGAAAGAAGTTTTTAAAAATTCTAAAATAAAATTTAAAACAGAACTAATGAGAAGAGTTAATATTCTCATTAATTAATTAATGAAAATAGCAAACATGAGTTTTGTATCACAATGTAAATACTTACTTCATCACTTTCTACTAGATTCTCAAACTGAAAGAACAAGAAAGTAAGTGTTAGGAGGGATACTAGTCTAATCAGATACTGTTACTTTTTTACTTTAAAAATGATACATTTTCTTTTCATAAGGTACTGTATTTAAGTGCCTTTTATATATCTGCTAGTTTGATATATTCAATAGTCCTACAAAATAGCCAAGTTTATACTAATTGTACTTATAGCATTATTCAACATAGAGCAGAAACTATATGATAAACTGAAACTTTCAACTGAATTGACTGGTTCATACAGGCATTTTAACCCAAAGAACCAGAATTTTCCACTTTATAGTACAGAAAAAAAATTAGTATCACAGAGAGGAAAATTGATAAACAAGGGACTAAAAAGATACCCAAATAAAAATTTCTCTGTTGTTATTCATTCATATAATTATTTACTCAAAGTTCACTGGATGGTGTTTACTATGCCCAAACACAATATTTTCCTAGGAAAAGAATGTGAAAAATTGATTAGAATGTAACGAATGCTATTATGTCAAATGATCTACTGGGAAATCATTACTATTACATTATATTATTAAAATATCTATATTTCCAATGCAAATAACATGATAAATAACCAGGTGAAAGAAAAACATGCTTTGTTGTTAATGTTAAGTGAATTCAAAAGGTTTAGAAAATACAAGAACCTAGGAGGATAACAAAGCTGTTCAAAATTATTAAATTTAATTCATTTTTTGGAATCAGTTTGTGATTGCTTAAAAACTGAATTCCCAGTTTACATGCTTCCTTATTTAATGCATAAGGTGGTGAAGTACAATGGTCAAGTGTTGCAGGCAGGTACTTTGGACTGGCATTTATTTTCTGCTGCTCACAGGCTGTAAAATACGACCCAACACCTCCATGTGTCTAAGCTTCTGATTTCTTACCTGTGGAACCAGGTGACTAGCATCTCTGTGCAGGAAGGAGATGCAGTGGGACATGAATGCAGCAGTCCTTGGGTGCAGGGTGGAGGGGCTGGCATGCGGGTTCAGGAGCTTCTACTGGTATGTTTTGCCTAACTGTGGAGCTGCTTACAACCACGCTGCTGCTTGGACTGTGCTTAGCTCTCCACAGAGAGGCCAACCTTGGGTGGTGGACCTGCTGCCTCAGGTAGCTGCTGTTGTGCACAGAGGGGCTCACATCCTTTCCTCAGCTGTGCAGGGCGAGACCAAAGCAGGTCTTCCAAGACCAGGATTTTCCTTAATCTGCAAACTTCTCCCTATTTCCTCAACTCTTTCGCTCTTCACCAGAATCAACAAAATTGAAATATAAACAATCCATACTAAACGTGGTCTAAATCTTTCCCTCTTAGTTACAAGGAAGCCCCTTTTGCCTTCAAGGACTATTTTTAAATGCACCCAACTCAGGATTCTACTCACCTCTATAGTCAAGTGCTCACCCCTCGAGCATGTTCTAAAATACTTGGATCTGGGGAGAAAAAGAAACAACTTTAAAAGCACAGCTAGCTCCAGTGTGATGGCATACAAATATTTCTTCAAGGGCAACTTTATTTCTCTAGTATATAGTACCTCATATTTATAAAAAGGAACAACCACATCTACTTCTCCATACAGTCTACATTTTTAAACTTCATTATGCATTTGATACTTACATTTACTAAACCTGTAATAAATTAATTTACCTAACCACCTATAATAAAATAGAATTACATTTAAAAATTTATCTCATTTTTACTGTATCCAGAAAGTTGTCTTGTTAAAAAGTGTTAAATATTGACTTTGATTTTATTCAGTCTCCTCTGCTCACATGACAGAAAGCTACGTGCAACCTGAGAAGCATCTTCTTTACTGAACAGGGTGTCTCCTGTTCCTGCAGCATGGACCAATTCCTTTAGCACCAAGTGTCAGGACATTATGAGGTTTCACTGCTGCACCTGCTGAAGTGCCAAAAAGGGAAGGGCCTTCCCCCCAAGGGGTACCCAGCGGCACTCTTAGGGTCCCTCCTCTGACAGGGTCTTGGCAAAGAAAGCACCCTTTTAAAAATGGGCAGATGCCTGGGCTTAGGACAGGTCTGAACACTTCATGTTACATATAGATGTATGTGCACGCATGTGCAAGGAGTTGACAGGCTGGTAGAAGAGAATACCATGTTGTTATGACCACAGAATAAACACAGCAATGAAACTGCAGTTGGCTATTTTTTTCCTGCTACAATATTGATCTGCTGAGATACAACACTGGGGTACTGCCTGCTTCATGATCACTAGCAAACAAAGATTTTGTGCTATCCTTCCACAGATCGCAAGGAACATGTCCAGCACGGATACAATGCTCAATCCTCTGGCTCTAGAGCAGGCCTGGACATCTTGGGACAGCCTTGCAGGTTGTAAACGGCGAGCATTAGCATCCCGCTTTCATGTTTCATGCATGGTGCTTGGCTCACTGTCTAGGGAGGACACTGCTTGGTGTTGACTTTACATCCCGTGAGCACCATACACAGCTAGGGAAGCCCTGGGGTATCAGACCGAGTGCACACGTGCTTGTGCAACTTGAGTACAATAGCAGCTACCGATACTATAGCCTACCTACAAGGATGTCTGTGTGTATCTGTGAGGACAGGTAGTTACTATTTTCCAGTAGAAATGTATGCTTCAGAAGCTGGGGAGATAGCTCAGTAGAATAAGTGCTTGTTTGGCAAGGTCCTGAGTTCAATCCCTGGTATTGAAAAAAAAATGTATGTTTCTTATTAATTATTAAACATGGGTTTGTGTTATTTGATAAAAAAAACAACTAATAGTTACGTATACATTGCTAATACTAGAAAAAAACAAATGGTTGCTTATTAATTTTTTTGTGGTACTGGGCACCGAGTTTGGGACCTTGCACTTGCCAGGCAGGCGCTTACGCTGCCAAGCTGTATCTCTGGCTTGTGTATTAATTCTTGTATTCCAGCATGGCAGTTTTACTACTCTCATACATTTTGTATTAAGCCCAAGATGACTCTGCACTCAGTGCTGCTAGGCAAGTTAACGGTGGCACCTGTGCTCTGCAGCTGTGGCTAGCATGGGCCCTTGCCTTGCCCCGCACGGCGCCTCGACTCACCTCTTATTTAGGGGGGCACTGACTCTAGCACTCCTGCTTCTGCCACTATGTGCTTTTCTTGTACCCATCACTCTTTCCTGAATGAAAAAGCTGTCTCTGATGAAACTGTCACCTCTTCCATTCTCACTGAGAGGTATGAGTGAATAATGAAATCAAGTTCAACACCACTGAGTAGCCAAATATAGACCATCAATAAAAACAAGGTCTGAGTAGAACACTGCTAATGGGAAAATACCCACAGCATTCTATGTATGAGATAGCAGAACACTGGGTTCTATTGAAATTTAATGTAGAGGTGTATGTGTTAATTTCAGTAGAAGCCAGAGAGGTGTTGTGCTGTGAAAGTTGCCCCACTGGTCCCTTCTCTCCATATCCACCACATTCCTGACCATTTCCTCACAATCCGCACCAGAGGAATAAGGGCAGCTGAAAATGTGGACAGCACTAATGTCTTCTAAGGACCAGCTGTGGTCTGCCCTGATGTTACTGCTGAGAAATTGAGCACCCACACAACAGTCTATCCTTTGCTTAAAGCAGTGTGATCTGAGTGGGCTTCTGTCCCTCCCACAGGTCCTGGCTAATAAAACAAGCATGAGTCTAAGGGCTAAGACAAATAAATAGTAAATAGTAACAAACAATTAAAATGGAAGAAACACAGGGTAAGTTTGGAAAGCAATTCAAACTTGCCCTTTAAAATAGATTAGATGGAGACCTTATTCACAAAGGACCTTTATTGACTGCTGTTACCAGAAATGCTAGGATTATATTGAGAAGTTTGCCCCTAAGCAAACTCAGGGGCAATGTTTTTAGCAGAAAAGCTTTAACCTGGATTTACCTGAGAATAAGTGGAGACATAATGTGATATATCTATATATCTATATCTATATATGAATTATAGATGTTTATTTCTACTCAGGCAAATACTGCTGGCACCTGAATAGAATCCTCCAGCCAGGTACGCTAAGTATTAAATTTGGTCAGGAATACTTTGCCAACTGTCAGTCATACAAAAACCATAGCTTTCATGTTGTTTTCTATAGTTTCTATATGCTACATATTTTAAGTGATTTGAAAACCCACTGTTTGAAAGGATCATTTCAGATTTTACAGAGCTATTTCTGGCAAATGAAGAAATGATGATGTGAATAATTTACGTCACCAGCTGTTTAAAGACAATGGAAAGTATTCAGTGCTGGCCTCTCTTACCTGCTCCAGAGCAAGAAGCTAGGCCAAACTGCTTGGGAGAGGGGGAAAGGAGGGGCTGGAAAGGAGCAGGGCGGTTGAGAGTGGAGTGGACAGAGCACTAAATGCAGCCTCACTCAGATCTATCTCTACTTTTACAGCTCAGCGGCAGCAGACTGCAGCAAGTGGGCCTGGGCTCGAAGCCTGAGGATTCTGGAGAGCAAACACACAAAGGAGGTGCTGGGTGGCAGGCACTGGCACAGCATAAAACCCTGTGAGTCAATAGGGCCATAGCATGGGAAGGGAGGCTGGTCATTCAGGCCATCAGGGCAGACTTTCTCTGATCAGGACAACTGGAGCTGGGCATGGTAGAGCACACCTGTAAGCCCAGCATTCCAAGGCTGAGGCAGGAGGATTGTGAGTTCAAGGTTAGTGGGCCACACAGTGAGACCCTGTTTTATAAACAGCAACAAGTATAATGGGAATGAAGGCCCCAATGAGGTATACTTGGAGGAAAAGAACTGCACAGCAAAGAAGAGCAAATGGAAAGGTTTTGCAGCACAATGGTGCTTGGCTCCATGTTAAGGAGGTGAAAGTGGCAGGGCGGCTGGGGCAGAAAACAGGCAAACGCGGAGAAGCCAAAGACAGGGCAGGCCTTGTGGCCACGCAGTGAATCACACTGCATTGTCAGAGGAGGATTCAGAAGAGTTTGGGTTTTTGACATTATCTTAAAAAAAAAAAAATATTGTGAAACTTTCAAATATGCACAAAGGTAGAAGGAAGAGTATCACAGACTTCAGCTTAAAAAGTTGCCTTTTTCCATGTTTCATTTATACCATTCTATTTTTGGGGATCTCCTGGGAGGCACATTCTCTTATCCTTAACTCATTTGCATCTCTAATTACTAAGAACCTTAAGAATTTACCATATTATACCCAGCAAAACTGAAAATAATGTCTTAAAAACTATCCAAGGCGTAGTCCCATTTATACTGCAGTTTCCCTATGGTTCTGTATGAGGTAGGCATGACTCCTGGAGCTAAATGAGGGCCAGTGCTGTGTTTGCCTGACCTTTCAGACCTCTTTGTCAATCACTTGCTGTCCCCCACCCCCAGCCCCCTTGCAGCCGCAGCACTGCCTTTTTCTGTGCCACCAGATATCACAGAAATTGCTATTCTGAAGAATTTCTCAATTTCTTGGTTTGGCTGTTACTTTTCCTTTTGGTGTTGTAAGTTCTTCCAGTATTGCATGTAAACTTGGAATCTGATTTAAAAATTTGGTTAAAATGAAGTTAATTTTTGAAGGCAGGAGTCCTCCTTCCCTTACATTATGCACATGGAGGTTCAGGTACTGTCAGTGGATCCACCCTTCAGGAAGTTTTACTCAACCTTTACCTAACGGTTGTGACAGCCACTGATATGCCCATTTGCTGCTTCCCTGGAGGGTAAACAAATCATGTTTTTCCAATTCTACCATTCCTTAAGAATGTATTAACAATACTAAGAATGTCACAGGAGGATCATGAACTCATGAGCCAATCTGTTTTAAGGGGTCAACAAGATAGCATGACAGAGAAATGCTGCTAGCTTGGGTTACGTAACAGTAAGGGCAGTAATAAAAGTAGTCACAAACATGAGGTAGACAGGATTTGCCAGTGTATTAGAAGCAGTAGTTTGTGTCAAGGATGTCACCTAAGTTTTAGGTCTGCCCAGTTAGAAGGATGGAGTTGTCATTTCTGAAAATGAGAAAGGCAAGAGGTTTATATCATTATTATTATTATTATTATTATTATTATTATTATTCGTTTTTTGCAGAACCGGGGATTGAACTCAGGCCCTTTGCGCTTGCCAGGGAAGCGCTTATTTCACTGAGCCATCTCCCCGGCCCCGGTTTATATTTTTAGATGCCTAGAATCTGGGATTTAGACAAAGCTAAGCATCTGGGTGAGAGTCCTTGATTCGAATTCCAAATTATAACATTTTCAGAAACATCAGCTCAAAAATTCCTGTAGAGTGCTTCCTATAATTAGCCCCAAGGCTGATTCTCAGTTCTCAGATCAGGAAAAGCACTTTTCTTCTTCACTTTAAACCCAGGAAATTCATTTGACTTTCTCTTCCTGTCCCAAAGAGTGCAGGCTACAGACAAAGTTGGTGATGTCAGCAATTTCTCCACATACATATGCAAA